GACTGACTGACTGACTGACTGACTGACTGACTGACTGACTGACTGACTGACTGACTGACTGACTGATGGCATAGAAATAGAAATCAGCGCCTCATTATTAACTTGATGAAAAGAAGAGCTCCATCTAAGAGGGGAAAGGAATACCGGTATTCCAACGGTTGCAAGCTTTCATTTTTTCTATGTAGACAAAGAAAGGTCATATGGGCGCACTACGATGCGTTCCTTGCTCACCAAAATTGGCACTGACCATGAAAATTGCCTGTTGGTAGACAAGAGCTGGAAGCAGACTACTTGCGCGGCACTCCTCTGGTTTATCGGCTTGATCAAGATATGTAATTATAAGGAATTCTAAGTTGAAGTCATGTAACTGTTACGCTATAATACGTTGCGTCATTTATTTACTGTCATGATGATATTTGTTGTAGGGTATATTACATAATATTACCTGGTATTTATCCTGTCAATCCACCGGATTTACACTAGGTAGTGCACCGTCCCCTCGCTTCTAGTAGCGTAGGGATTACAGCGTGATATGGTCATGACTCCATGGTATTTTACGGGCTGCACTGCATGGGCATAAAAGAGCATTACGTTGTTGGATCGAATAGAAGCATGTTTGAACACCAATGAATGTACTTCATTCCGTAGGAATATATGTGTCAAAAATAAGCCCTGTTATTATGGGTTTGCTAGCAAACTTGTAGCTTTCAATATTGCCGGTAAGAATAACATTCTCCTGCCCATTCTCCGGATTTATAGGGCGAAACAATATCCCCTTGCTTCTAGTAGCCTAGGCTAGCAGTTTGAGGTAGTTGAAGAGTTTAGTTTTGATATATATTAATGGCTGTGTTATGTTCTTTTACACATTGTCTGATGTTATGATGTGTATAGATTTTGTTTTATCCTAATGTATTTAGTTTTACGCACCCTGGTGCGGTCACTGTAAACGTCTGCAGCCCGTTTGGGAGCTTGTCGGTCATGCGCTGAGCGATACGCCGATTCACGTCGGCCGACTCGACTGTACGCAGTATGCACAGGTTGCCTCGACGGTGGAGGTTTCTGGATACCCGACAATTAAATTGTATAACAACGAATAAATCCAACTTGCATTCTTGACAAATTGGTATTTATAGTTTCCGGTATGGTGTGACGTATACGTTTGATGGAGAGAGGACGAAGGAGAGTATCGTAGACTTTGCCCTAAAAGTCATGGGGTTTGTTTTTCGTTTCTTCATTATCTTCGTTTTCTACGCTTGTTTTATGACCATGTTCAGACCAGAAGTGCGACAGTTGCAGTCGTCAGATGATTTCCTGTCTGCCTATGGTAGACACAGAAGGGATGTTTTCTTTCTGTTTGTCGGTGATTCTCTACAGGTTGCTGATTCTGCTGCTCTTATTCTGCTGAAGGTAGTTGCTTTATAGTAGTTTTATGGTTTTTTTCCTTCCTCGTCTCAGGACCAGTATCATCAAGCAGCGAGGCGTTTGTTTACCAAAGCGTACTTTTACGAAATTCAGAGAAAGCACGTTCCAAAGGTAAGTTTTGTATTTTATATTTTACCAGTTTTTAGAAACAGTAAAATTGTAACAGGTGTTGTGGCCATTTCAAACAAGTTTAAATATTTCGGTTGTTGTAAGTCTTCAGTGATGCAGTGTTGAGTTAGTTGCTTCTTGAATTATTCTTAATTTCACTTGCTTCTCTCTTAGTCTTATTTTTTGTTTCTCGTTTTTATTGCCTCTTGTTTTTTGTACTCTTTCATTCTCTATATTGTTTGAATTTCTTTCTTTTCATTTTGTCTGTTGTACAAGAAGTTTTGCTCCCTCGGTATTTTTTGGCGCATACTGCTTTTTTCTTTATGCAGCACTTTACACGAGCATGACAGCAGCATAGTCTCACATTTCGTAGGATTTATAGTTGTCAAAATGGAAGGATGGCATCTTGAAATAGCGATTCCTATTGTTTTTCTTTCACTAATGAACTTCATCTGCATCGACCGAAGACTAGTTAATGGAAATGTGTGATACTGAAGAGTACTTTCACTTTGGTAAAGTTGTTGGGTTCCAATCCCAAAGCAGTGTAAAATTCTTCGAATAACTGCTAGTTCCATCCATTGAATTTCATCCCCCCTGTGTTTCTCTGCAACTAGCCGAGAAATGATTAGCGAATCATTGACCTCTAGACATTTGGAACAAATTGGTGACATGCGAGACTTATGACCACGCTAACTGAGGGAGGGGGGCGCTTTCGGGCTGCATTTCGCTTGGTCGGGTCTAATAGCTGACTAAATACTTGCTCAAATTGTACAGCATAAATTTAAAAAAATAAACTTTAATAATTTATGTTAACGCTTGATATTGTACAGTTGTAGTAAGAAGTATGATAGGTGTCCATGTACAGAATGAGTAACGTAACTCAAAATTTTGCTAACTACATGAATGCCGTCAGAAACTGCTCAAGTGAAGAAATTGTAAACTAAATTATTTTTTGAGTTAGGTCACTAGTCTCGAAAGAAATCTGAGGATGTTTAAATGTTTCAGGATTTGTTCTGAGCGACCATGTACGATATTCTGTTCTCTGGTATATGCTTTTACATTGAAAACAGCACGAAACACGATTTATTTATACACAACGCAAACCATTTAATCAACTGGCTGACTGACCTCTAACGACCGTTCGCCTGTGTCTGGCGGGTCTTCGTCAAGGTATGGAAGTCAGTGAGCTTCTGGTCATCTGAAGCAGTTCGTAGACTCACAGCTAGAAGGCCCGAACTGCTGCTGATAAAAATTTGGATTTCAAAATCTCAGTCTCATCTGTACATTCATAAAGATCCGAGAGACATGCGCAAACAATTAGTGGGTACTGGTCAGTTATTCGATTGACCTAATTTTCTGCGTTATGCATAAATAAACAGTGTTTAGTGCTGTTTTTAGAATTATCCCTAACTCGAAAACCTAGTACTCAATGCTGCTAATTGTAGAGTGTTTTTTCTTTTGAAAAATAATGAAATTTTTTGTTGATTCCATTCAAGCAGTAAACTTTAATTCGTTCATTGTTTATGCCGCTTCGTTTCTGTTGTTAGAATTTCACGTTCGCCGATGAGATTGGCGTTATGGCGATCAAAGGCAATACCTTCTACCTCTATGATATATGTGAGTGCGATTCATTGACAATATGTTCATGCGATGAATATTTATTTAGCATCAAACTCGTCTTTGGAAGATTGGATACACTTGGAGCGATGGATTGATGTGCCGTTGGTCAACTACGGAAATCTTTACGACATAGGAACCAGCAGCAATCGATACCTGGTTTTAGGGGTGTTGCATTTGGTGGAGAAATCCAAACCAGGTAGTCCGGTTCAAAGGTAAGTCATAACATAGAGTTTTGATGAGTACCACATTTAACGAATTGCGGAGGAACTTCGGTTTTCTCACTGAAACAAGAAAAGCAAATAATCTGAACTCGAGGAGAAAGCAAAAATAGACATCAGGGTCAAAGGAAAAATAGAATCAAGGAAAGAAAAGAAAAATGGATATTTGTAAATGTTCGAATGTCTTACACTTTAACAGTGGGATTATTTCTTACCATTTATGATTTCCACTTTTTTGCCACCGTCTGGAAGTGCCCCATTTTAGAGGCAAAGTCGACAGTAGCAAGTATAGCTTTTAGCTTTTCTCTTTCTTTCCACCAGAATGACGCTCATTTTTTGCTTTCAGAAGGAAAAAGGCGAGTGACTATGACCCGGACTCAAATCTGAAGCTTTTCGGTTGTGAGTCAGACTCTCTACCTCCCGCAACGTTGAGCATTGCAATATTATATATAGCTTCTCTAACTAATGCTGCCACATTGTGCTTGAGACTTTGAGAACTGGTTGAGAATTTTGATAATATTCACTAGGTATGTGACGTTGGCAGGTTCTCTCAGTTTGTCGAAAACGCACAGACGGTGAAGTTTATGCCATTATGTTGGATTTTTCGCCTCTGTATAATTAAACGGACAATCAACGATGTATTCATTTATGCAAAGTAATTGCTATAAGCGGCATCGACCGCTTTTAAAGCACAATCAATGCAGTGTCTGCAGCTAAACGGTGCTTTTGACTTGCGTCTAAAATTATTTCACTCTCTGCCACTTTCGCCCTTCAGAGTCTTCAAAGTATATAAGTTTTTAAACAGTGTCGCAAGAGTCATTTACCGGGAAGAAGCAAAGTTAGAAGATTCTAAGGCAACGTAATACGTAATCTAATGTCTTCGACATGAGCCACTGACCTTTCAGGATTTGACCAGTCGTAGAAATGTTTGAAGCAGTCTGACTGCCCTTAATTTTGAAGGGGGTGAAGAAGAAAGATCGGAAGAAATTAGTGAGGAATAATTGTTCTAACAAGAAAATGTGATGAGGACAAGAAGAAGGAGGCGGAAAAATTTTCTAATAGACAAAATGACTAAATAATCAATGACAGGCTTAAGAAAAAGTAGTTTTGATTGTCAGAGAGAGACAACGATTAGTCACGCATCTAACGATAACAAGTTTCATCTCCGATTATGAACTGTACTTGGTCCAAATGCATGAGCATCGTCAAACAGTTTGACTCTTTTCGTAATTCTGATCATTTGATTAGAAGCCTCTGTTTGACGTACTCTTTCTAATCTGTTTTTAATTCCTAAAGACTCGGTTTGACGAGGAAAGATGTTACTTGCTGGAAAAGAATAGAAATAAACGCATATTACTTGAAGAAAAGGTTGTACTCACAGTCTTGTTTTAAGAACAACGAGATTCGGCTGTCTGATTACATCGACAAAGTGATGCATCCACACTGCATTCTTAGTAAAAAATGTATAAAAAATGGCGTCCGGCAGTTAGATCTAAGAAATGGATGTTTTTTCCCTACTATGCTTCGATTTTTGTATCCCGGTCCTGTAGTTCAGCAGGAGCCGTGGTGAATCTTGGTTTAGGTCATCGGAACATCAAGGTCGTTGAATCAGCTTTTATTTATGTCAGGAACTTCGTCATCAACACAGGTAGTGTAATTAGGACAAACAGTTTTCGTTAAAATACGGATAATTGAAGGTCACGGTTCGACCTTTCAGTGTCTCCACGCTTTTTCACATTTCATTCAAATTTATGTGAATGCACCTACTTGTATCATTATCACCATATACACATGGTTGACATAAAACTATTGCGGAAATCATAAGAAGGTCTTCGGGCCACCACGTTGACGTGCCAGCGACCGAAGCCCAAGTGCAGTAGTTTCAGTTCATATTTTATCCAGCTGTTTATCCTTTTATGCTCCGGCTCCTTGGCGTAAGGCAGAAAGCACGGTAGGCCACCATTGTTAAACCATTTTAAGGAGATTCTTGCTTGTAAATTGGAGGCAATCATTGTTTTAAAGGTCGTTTGCTTACTGACTAATCATTGAGAGCCGTTTCTCAACCACTGGGTGGTTATGATCACCTGTGAGTATTTTATAATAATTCACCAGATCGTCGTTGACAGACAATTTCAGGGCTCGCGACAGGCTTTCACGGCGACTGTACTGGCTCAAAGGAAGCATGTCCAACAGTGCTGCACTCTCTTAAGCAATGTGTTACTTTGATCATTGTACGTTCCTTTTGACAAGGAGGAGAGAATGGTTTTTAGGGAGCCTACTGGTGTCATTATGCCTTTATCTCAATCAGCAGCTCGTCATTTCCTTTGAACTCGTGGCAGTATCGATCGTAATAGTATTATTATCATTTTTTGAAGCAGCTATGGTATGCGGAATTTTCGTATTTCGTATTCACACTCAATACTTGTTTCTAATCTCATCTTTATAATTTTTTGTTTCTTAGTAGCTTTGTTTTCAACGTTTTTAATTTTTTCATTTAATATCTTTATTACAGGCTATTTGAATTGATGCAAAATGTTTGGAGAAACTACCAGGACGATCTAAGACAGACGTTTCAGTTTGGCTGGCTTGACGGAAACGAGGTCGCCAACAACATCGTGTCGCGTACTCTACCGGTTCCAAGTCTGATGGTGCTCAACGTCAGCTCGTACCAGTATTTCTTTCCCAGCGACGATGCAGAGAACATCACCGAAGAATCATTGTACGTGTTTTTGACAAATGTGGCAGACGGCAAGATCAAGGTGTAGTTTTTCAAGAATGATGCGTCTTTTGCGACGATGTTACTTCTTTACTTTCAGCCGCTTGGTGGCAAAGGATACGTACAGCGAGTTCGGCGCATGTTCTACGAACTGTACATTACGCTATACGTATGATTGACTTCTTTTTTTCTTTGCCACATGCTTGCCTATTTTGCTTTTCTTGAAAAATCTGGTAATTCAAAGCCACAGTCTACTCTACAAATATTTTTTCATTTGAGTGAATACCGACCTCGTACTAGAAGTTATTCATTTCGCCAGTTGTCACTGGATTCCATTATTTACTACAGATGTCAGATTTAACGCTCTCGCTTGCGCAGTTATATGACGCTAATCATCCTCATCTTCAACCGATCAGACCAAAATTAATGACTTTCTATTCACCTCTGATCAAACCATTGAGTATGTAGATGTTGTTGTGACATAATATGCACTCTACATCAATGAGATCTTGAAGAACGAGCGTATATTTCGCTTATGAACTCTCGTAATAGCTCTCTTCCGGGAAACGCGTTTGTGAGCCTGTGTATCGAGAATCTTATTCGTGACAAGCGTTGAAATATGTTGCTGTGCAGAGAAAAATGTTACTACTACCAAGGACTCTGCGTATCGGCAGAAATCCTTAAATCAACTATAATTAGATCATTACGAGAAAGAAAGATCGCTTCTTCTGGAAACTTTTCTCCTTTATCATCTTAGAGCGTTGTTTTTACGTTTTAACGAGTAGAAAAATATACCTGGTGTATGGGTGCAAAATAGAGAGAATATATTCAAAGATATATTTTTTAATTCCATCACATAATATATGAATGATTTTCTGTCGCTTTACATTAAAGGATGCTAGAAAGCGCCTGTTGACGATCGATATATTGCTATCTCGGTATGCTTATTGGTATGCTTATTGCTTTTGCTATCTTTTATTTCCAGCGCTTTGCGTTAATCCTAACGGTCTTTCACTTATTTACCGATTCTTCGTTTTCTCTACGTCGAAATGCAATTTTGCGTTCCATGATATATATTTTGGTTTCATTTGTCGGCTCTCTTTCTTGTTTGCCAAAAATTGCATTTGTTCATGCGCCCATGTATTTATTATTGATTCATTTGTTCTATCCCTCATCCATTCATCTGATTTGTTCGTTCATTCGAAAGAGCCCAAAATGCACTAACAAATTACCAAATAGGATTAAATATAAACTTTCTCTGTGGCAAAACAAGGGAGCTCAAACACCGGATCTTCAATTGCACATTACAGAAAAGATCAAATGTGACTCACCGAAATCATGGTGTGTGAGACTTGTCATCGAAAAGGTCAACAAGGCCGACGACGAACTGATCATAGGTGAATTAGGTAGAACCGCACCTATGGACAAATGCGACATCAACCCGGGCATTAAAATTTTATCCCCATCATTGATGATAGAGCACGACTTGGCTTATGGTATACCATATCATCGGGTTCCCTACTACTTTTTGCCATTGCGTTCTATCCGGTGCATTTCTTGATGTGACTTGGGACAGACCAAGCTACGTTCAGAGGAATCTTGGTCTGGAATTTGTCGTTGACTGGACCGAACTTAATCCGTTCGTCCTTGATGCATTCCAACCATTAATTTTCCAATATGGGTTCACACAGTACAAGTTATGTTTGTCAGGCACCTGTCGCCTTTTCATAGTGCGGGCCGGAAAGGGACGAGCTTTAGGCAGACATACATAACAGTCAGATGATCGCAAGCAACATCGGAATGTCGTAAATTTTAGTGACGTAATAAATCAGTATAGCAATGAATATAAGTCCAATAATTTGCTTAGTGTAACTTACCTACCAGTTCAGAGAAAGAACCATTGATTTCCAGTACAAGTATAGAACGCATATTCGATGGTTGGCACTATATGCTTTAACTAATGCAGAAATTAAACTTTTTGGTGACGTATAACTTGTTCAAGACTAGATTTTGCGTCATGTTTTACCGCCCCCTTGCTTCCGGTTGCACGGCATTTAGCGGGCCACGGCTCCATCGTGTTTCAACTAGTTTAATGCCAGATGCATCTCACATCATCTTGTCCACTAGAGCCACCTCATTCTCATCAAATGTTTCTGTAGTTGGTACCTGAAAATTAGACTTTTCTGATACTTGGAAAGTGTCTCTTAGGCTGCGCTGCTTTTGTTAAAATTGTTTTTCTTTCAGGCGATGTTTGCCAACCAGCCTCTCTTAGCGTGTTGCCTAATTGGATTGCCTCTGGGAATTTTATCTGTCATTTGCTATACGATTTGTTCTACGGATGTTTCTTTCGACAGTGATGAAGTGTATCAAAGCAGCGATGAAGAAGGTATTTAATGAACAAATTTTTTATCAACTGCATTTAATTAATCGTTAATGAATTTTTAGAAAGCGACCATGAGAAAGCAGATTAAAAGGCACTTATTTGATGCTTTAATAATGTGGTTGTGTCTCATTTTGAGCGCAGGTATTTTACACAGGTTTTAAATTCGCGAATTAAGTTGTTAGAAAGAGAAAGTTGCTTTTTCTTTTGACAGTATTTTGTTGTAAGATCGTAAACTTTCATAATCTCAGTAGCACATTGAGTTTTCTGCAGTGCTAAAAGTTGTCTGCTGTGATCTGCTATGCGTGGGCTGCTCCTTCAAAATTGGCTCTGTTCTTGTTGCACGTGTTTCTTTTGTCGTGTTGCAATGTTATTTTTAAACAATTTCTATTTTTAGCAGTGAGTCAGAAAACAAGCGTGTTTGTAATTGATTATTTTGGTTTCTATCTGGTCATTACTGCTTTTGCAGAAGAAAAATTGAACTGAATACATACATATATACATACATAAACGGATGTAAATCTTCTGCGACAGGAAGGAAGGAGTTCGCTTGTGTCTAACCTGCAATGATTTTAATGGGAAAGGTATTCATGACTACAAGTAACTTTGACTGCTTTTATCAACACTAACGAAATATAGCGGTTGTTCACAGTATTTTTCCTTCAGAAATATTTTCCAATGGGACAGTGCTTCTTAGTTCATCTGTGATGAAGGTTACCAGGGAATTTATTTGATAAGCGTAATGTGTCAAACTGATTAAGTGTCTAGATAAAATAGCTTTATTCAGTTTTTAAAATAATGTATTTAAGAATCTCTACCAGTGATATATCATATAACAAGTTGTCTCGAGTACATTTTTTCAGCCACTTGGCGATTGACTACTAGCTGAGAATGGGAAAGGAAGCACGAGAATTTAGACACTGTAATTAGCAAAACCAGGTTCATTATATAGCAGCTAATATGTATATGGAAATATCGATGTTTACCGGATGCCGGTTTTCATTGTCATGTGCGGCACGGGTTAATCTTTCAGACTTGCTCTTCTACTGCTTAGGGGTAAAAATTGTGGCTTTGTCTAACATTCAAACTGACATTTATCGTCCCGTTCATCATTTCACGTTTTGCAGGGCTAGGTGACACTGCCTTCTGAACTGTGAGTGCTTGAGCAGCACCCGGTCGTCCCTTTAAACAGTTGCCTTGCTGACCGATGGACTGCTGTGGAGTCGGCATTATAAACACGATACTATTTTTTGTACGTGTCTATCTGCTCTGTAAAGCAGTTAAATTAATTTTCTCTGCTTTATGTAAGTTATATAACACTTTCTAATATTCGATTGGGTAGGTCAAAAGGTAAAATGCTCGGCTATTTGGTAAGCTCACTCTTCCGAATCTAACAGGCAACCTCTTCAGGCCAGCATATTATTTGTCTAAAGAATATATAATGTGCTCGTTCTCAAGATCACGCATATTAAGAAGTATTCAACATTTGGACCGATCTTTATGCACCATTAAATATACACCGAGATGAGAATACACACTAGAGAGACATTTAAAGCAGCCAATGCTATAATTGTTTAAATCTGTCGTAGAGCAGGGTGCAAAAAGTAACGTTGATAACATTGATGCCTTTCACCCATTTTTACAAATAATTTTCAGAAGATGCCAACAAAACAGCATGATGCACAGAGCAACTTCCTATCTAAATTTTCTACGCTGATGCACTCGTCTCTGTGCATGACTAACTTATCTACGTAAAATGCAGGTAGGATGGATGTCAAAATGCCGACGATGTAAAGTTTCAACTTAAAGCTATTTGTTCTGATGTAGCACCTGCAGTCAATATATATTCACAGGATTGCTTGTAGCAACTGTCCATCGATCACATGTATTTGCTGGTATGCCCACGGCTAGTTTTTCTTTCTCAGAGGGAGTAAAAAACGTAAACTGGGTATGTGAATTCTCAACATTCTGACGTAAGGCGAAAATCGGATAAGATGTGCTTTGGCCTGACCTGACAAATTTCTTTGATCTTAGTGTCAGTTATTGCGCAGCTCTTTCCAACATTTATTCTAGTTCTAATATTATTTTTCACTGTTTGATTTATTTGTATTTATTTTTATCATCCACGAGCAATTGAATTCTGTAGTGATCATGCTCAAGCAACAAATAATCAGTTTTATGATTTATGATTTGTCTTCATCTTCTATCGCCGCTTCTTTCGGGTCTCGGAGGCAGACACGTCAGACAGAGTTTCCAACGTTGTCGATCCTGTGCCAGGGTTTGAGCTTTGGCACAACTGGAGTCTGGAATAGATTCCTCCCATATATTATGATTTTAAATGTCCCGATGGCAGAGATATAGAGGTCAGCTTGAGCTCAGATAGCGCCGGTTTGAATCGCGAAATAGAAGAAATTTGTCTTATCCATTAATTCTTTTTATCGAATGATTCACCGAATTTTCTTCAACGCAACCATACCGGAAACGGATGGCAAGTCGCTGAATTAGGAGCCTCAACGGCTGCCTGGTGAGAAATGGAAGAGAGGCAGTTCCGCACAGTCTGAAGCGAATGTTTTAGTGAGGTGCAATTCACTTTCATCAGCGGGATTGCCATATTTGAAATGCAGTAATCAGGAAAAGAGTGTAACGCTTGTCTTCGATTAAAGATGTTTACTGCGTGGATACGATCACTAACGAATCCCATGTTTCAGCACAACAAAACGATTACATAACTTAGTTGAGCAAACTCGCACAATATAAAATGAAATGTTACAGAAAGAGCAATAAAAGTCACCGACAGATATTAGAAAACATAGTAAAAACATGCACAGACTATAGGATTACGTACTTCGACAGTCAATGCTTTGTCAGGTAATTCCGCTTGACAGCTTCAGGATCTGGAAGATCGAGTCTGAAGAGTTCAGTCCTCACTGAAATAGAGCGTAGAGCAATTTGGGGACAAACATGAAAGAAACGGAAATGTCGATGATAGGAAGTGCTAAGTTAAGAATTTTTTCCAATCTTCACGCTATGCGCCACTGCAGACGCTGCTAGTTTAGTCACAAGGTCACTAAATTGGAGACTACTAATTCCATGAACCACTATTAAAAACCTGTAAAGCGTCGTTAAATCCAATAAAAAAACTTTATTATGTGCAATGACAGCACTCTAGGTACACAAACGAGTCTTTTGGCGGGTGTTAGCTCCTCACTCTTTTAATATAAAAACTGCCTGATAACAGCGACCAACAGTGGCTTTTACATGTTCATGCCAAGTCGGATAATGGGGTGAGTCAGACACTTTATGTACTCTTTGGGTCGTAAGGTTCAGCGTTAATGTTAATACAGGTTCAGATAGGTCGAAAAGCCTGGC